CTATGGGTCAGAATCGACTCGACAGTACTTAACAACAACAACAACAACAACAACAACAACATTACTAGAGCCTCTCAATCCTTGTGTATTTAGCTTCATGGGGTAGCCTTCTTGGGAAGGCTGTGAGGATTTGTGGGAAAGTGAATTTTTTAGGTGTGTGAGAGAAAGAAAAAAATAAATACATCAGTCCTATGTTTTGAAAACGTTTTTCCCTAGGACTTCTGCATCACTATGTTTTGTGAGGAAAGATGTTGACACTGATATGTAAAGTCTGTAATATTCTGACATGAAATTGTTGGTTCTCTTGTAGAGTGGCGGAAGGAGCAATTCGAGACTTGTGAGTGACTTGGAAGTTCTTTCTGGAAGCTCCTCTTGTCTGGGAGTTTCTGGGCTCTGCTTCAGTTCTGGGTGGTGATACAGATGCAGGCACCACTGGTTGTGGTGGGTGGGATGTGGAGGGGGTAGTCATGTAGCTGAGGCTAGGGAGTGTGACAGATGTTGGTTGCTAACTAGATATCGCTGAGGCCCAGGAGTCCAAACTGGTCCTTAAGGGCACTGTGATGGATCCAAACCCCAAATCAGTCTTTTGGTTCCTTATCCTGAGTGGATGGCTGTGGACTGGAATCACTAGCTCTCAGTTCAGGTGCTTAGCCCTCTCATCATGGCACTAAGTAGGTCTGAGGGAAGGTGGTTTTGTGTCCTTATTATAATGCAGGGCAGGGGCTGGCATGATTTGCTAACTCTCTTTACAGGGTCTGTCACTCTGGATCCACAGTCTGCCCATTCCAACCTTGCCCTCTCTCAGGAAAACATGAGTATGAGCCGGAAGGACAACTGTGAGGACCTGACTGATGACAGCTGCAGTGTGTTGGGCACCAAGGGTATCACATCAGGGCGATGTTACTGGGAAGTGGAAGTCAGAGATGGAGACACAAATGAGTGGGCTGTGGGGGTTTGTAGGGAAGATGTGAATAGGGATGGGTGGTTCAAAGAGAGCCCAGAAAAGGGCTTTTGGGTTGTGGGAAACTTTTCAGATGGATTTTGTGCCTGTAATAACCCTGATACATTACTAACTCTTAGACAGATTCCCTGCCAAGTGGGGGTTTTCCTGGACTACGATGGTGGGGATGTCTCCTTCTACATGACTGATGGGTCTCATATTTTCTCATTCTCTCAGGTTTCTTTCTCTGGGACCCTCTTTCCATATTTCATGATTATGTCAGGAACCCCATGCCTCACTATCTGTTACATGGTAGGTGGGAGTAAGGGAACACCCGTACATCTTAACAAATTGCCTTCTTCTTTGAATGAGCAAATGAGTCCTCCAGAGGAGGGGTTGAGATCTGGCTCTGGTGTTGATTATGTTTTCCCAGGGATTGAATCTCCATTACTCCCCTCTGGCCCCAGGGTTGTGCCCTCATAAGGATCTGTCTTTGTCCGGGTCCCCTTACGATGGCTCTGTTTGGAGCTTCAGACTCCCTAAAGTGAAAGACTTTGAGGTGAGTGCTGGATGGCACTGGGTGTCATGTGGTTGACTCTGAAATTGTCGATTTATATCTTGTGTTCTTGTAGCAAGAAGAAAAAAAACTGACTTTTAATTGAGCTGGTTCAGTGTTAGTAGAATTTGACCATGGAAGTTTATTTTATTTTGGTTGTGAAAAAGTACTCTGTGAGCATTTTATACTGTTGGTATATGAAAGGAGAGGGGTTGAATCCTCTGCAATGTAGTTTGTTTTATCCAACTGGACTTTGTACTGAGTGTGGGACCCCACCTCTATTCTAAGGGGCCTAGGCAATTTGATCAGGAAGTGTTCACCTTCAGAATTTTCCTGGGACATGGTGGGTTGGACTTGGAAGATGAAAGAGTCAAATATATTTTTCATATACTTATTCTTGGATAGTGGAAACCTTTCTTTTTCCTAAATCATCTATAAAATTCTGTAACTCATGAACACACTGTGTGTGCTAATTCGGGAAATTGAGAAGAAGGAACTAGGTTCTTGTTTTGGTCCATACTAGGTAGGAAGAAGAGAACTGCTAACAAAATTAAGATAGAAATGGACAGGAGAATATTCTAGAGCAGAGAATTGCAGAGAGCCTTAACATGAGCGTTGTCTCAGTTATTGGTGTTAAAGGAAAATGGAAAACCTCAGCATCCCCAAAGGGACAGGACTGCTGAGCACTGAGACTGACCTTTCAGGAATGAAGGTGTAGTCACTCCACCAGGTAAAGAACTCTGAGGTTCTGGCTGAGGGTGGGAGAACAAGGAAAAGGAAGTAGAAGAGAGAAGTCATAGATACCAACTCTAGAACCAATTACATAAACAAGAACTATAATGGCTTTCCATATTTTTTCTTTGGTTCTCAAGTGTATGTGTTTATTTGTTCACATAAACTATTTTCTTCTTCTTCAATTTCTTATTTTATATACAAGTTGGTGGCTGCTATGTTAATTACACAGAATATGATAACAGAATACCCACTGAAACTGTAACTGAATTTAAGGAGTTAATAATTTAGCCAGTGACTGTGACTTGTTTTGGGAAATGGATAAGGACTCTTCACTTGTAACGATAGCTTTGTCTTGAGAGGTGAAAACTGAGTAGTTTTGTTGCATGAAAGTTTGACTTTCATGTAAAATATTGTGTATGGAAGCTGAATAACCAAAAGAGTAGACTCTGCTTATTATCAATTTATTTCCTCTCAGTTACACTTTATCCTGTCTTTGATGTGCTGTTTGGTATTGCACCTCAAGCCTGTTAACATTTCTTCTTTGCCAGTGGGCACAAAGCGGGACCTTGTCAGTACACAGGAGATAACATGCCAACACACAGTAATGTTTTTCTTTCTTTCTAGTTCTAGGCTTTTCTTGTTGATCCTGTGATGCAGGGCCAGTGGCATGCAAATGGTCCAGTTTTGCTCATCTTTTGGTGAATTAGACTGGCATTGCAGTATGATGCCTTCTGGGGAGTCTTAGTAGCACCCAAGTGAATGTATTTTCAGGGAGGTTTTTTGGCACCAACTTTGATCCATGGCCAAAGTTCATTATACATTGGGCTTTAGTCCATCTTTTCCCAATGAATTATAAATGTCAGTCTTTTCAGGAGACCCTCTCCCAGATTTCTTCCTTCCATCATACTCTACTGCAGCTCTAGTGGAGTTGGGTATGCCCTATATTTCTAGTTTTGTATTTTCTAGAACTTTATTTAATCTCTTTTAGTAGTTAAGAACCTCTTAGTAGTAAATATATATTTTTAATCCATTGATTGTTCAGTGATGTGCTGTTAACCCCCATATATATGTATATATATTCTAGTTTTCTTTCAATTTATTAAATTTTAGTTTCATTCCACTGTGGTAAGAAAAGATACTTTTATTGATTTGCTTCTTGTAAAATTCATTGGGATTTGCTTTGTGTCCTAGCAGATGGTCTGTCTTAGGGAATAATTTATGTGCCCTGTAAATGAATGCATATTTTGCTCTTTGTTTATATTTTTTATATTAAAAGTTTATCTTTCAATTGACTGACATGGTGTCTGTCTCCTTCCTGGACTTGGACTGATTGTTGTGGTTGTTCAGGTTCACTCCCCTAATCATGTCATGGGAAATATATTCATTGGGGTCCTTGTGGAGTTATAAGTACTCTCTATATTCTCTATGTGTTAATCTAAGTTGCTCTGGTGATGCAATGGGCCAGTGCTTCATGCTAACTGAAAGGCTGTTGGTTTGATCCCACCACAGCTCTGTGGGAGAGAAGACCTGGAAATCTTCTGCTATAAAGATTAAAGCCTAGAAAACACTATGTGGGCAGTTGTACTCTGTCCTATAGAATGGCTATGAATGGGAATTGAGAGGATGGTACAAAACAACAAAAACATGACCACTACTATGTGTTAATATAAGTTACCTTGTTGTTGTTGTTAAGTGCCGTCAAATCGGTTCTAACCCACAGCAACCCTGTATAGGGTTTCCTAGAAGCTACTGGTAAGCTTGAACCACCAACCTTGCAGTTCAAACCAACTTTGCAGTCAGTACATTGAGATACAGCACCACACCAGGACTCCATAAGTTTCCTACTTGGCACACATTATTTGTGACTCCTTACCGAAAGTTTGGAGGTTGGAACCCACCCACCAGTACTATAGAAGGAAAGTTCTGATGATCTGCTTCCATTTTTTTGTTATTGTTGTTAAGTGCCGTCAAGTCAGTTTCCACCCATAGCGACCCTGAACAGGGGTTCTGAGGCTGTGAATCTTTACAAGAGCAGAAAGCCTCATCTTTCTCCCACGGAGCAGCTGGTACTTTCGAACTGCTGACCTTGAGGTTCACAGCCCGATTCATAACCACTACGCTACCAGAGCTCCTTACAGTCAAGAAAATCCTATGTAGAAGGGTTTCTACTCTACAACACATGGGCCACTAGCGGTCAGAGTCAACATGATATCAGTTAATGTGTTAATATATTATCTGCTGTATCTATCCCATTTTTGATTAGGTTGTTACTTTGTGACACTGTATTACTTTTGGATGAGCTATGGGTATACTGAGCCCTGGCTTGGCACTGTAGGATAAGCATGGACTGCTAGTCAAAAGATCAGAAGTTCAAATCCATCAGACACTCTTGGAAACCCTATGCAGGGTTGGAACTGATTCGATGGCACATACAACAACAACAGCAACATGGGCATATTAGAAGCCCTAGTGGTACACTGGGTTAAGTGTTTGGCTGGTAACTGCAAAGTCATCTGTTCAAACACAGGAGTCACTCCTTGGTAGAATGATGAGTCTGTCTGCTTCTGTAAAGGTTTATAGTCTCAGAAACCCTAAGTTCTACTCTCCCCTACAGGTTTACTATGAGTCAGAATTGACTTGATGGTGGTGAGTTTGATTTTTTTGTTTATAGGCATATTCCTTTGACATAGAAAAGAATGGTATGCAGAAAATATGATGTTAGTCACATGAGTGGTGGTGGTGGATATGTGCCATGGAGTCAGTTCTGACTCATAGCGAACCTGTACAGGGTTTCTGAGGCTGTAAAT